TCCCTATATCCCATTCTCAGCAGGAGATGTGTACTGCAGAAAGCCCTTGAGAGGGAGCCATGCTCCTAAAGCTGAGGCAAGGGGAAAGGGGGAGCTGCGTAAAAAAACAACCAGACAACGGAAAGTGAGTCACAGCCAGTGAAAGCCAACAGGAAGGCTGAACGGGGAGGATTGCTCTGCTGGAATATCTGAGGCCTCAGAAACCCCACCCTGATGACTCTTCCCCTCCTCCCTCACACCAGTGTAGAACAAGCTACCCTGGCAGCATATGCATGGCATCCAGTGTCCCCACCCCTGCTTTTTCCTTAAGAATGTGATGTGTGGGAGCTGAGCGGAAAGTCTGTTTCCTGCCCAGCTCCCCTCAATCCCACCTGCCTTTTTTTTTCCCCATTGGGCTTCCGCCCCTGGCACAGGAAAGAAGCACTTGTGTGCAGGCAGTTTGGGTGGGAGCAGCTGTGAGCTTCCTGTGGCCCCAGTTCTCTTGCTGCAGACCTACTCAGGAAATGGCGGCCTCTTGGCAAAATGTGCTTTGGGAGACGCCCTCATCATCTCTTTCCTCCCTGGCTCCTTCTCTATAGAGCTTGCAGTCCTAGAAATAAAAGGAGAAGGCTTAACTACTGGGTCAGGGAAGATTCTACCACGTTTATTCAACCTTGTCTTGTGTGGGTATGCATACACACATGCACATGCACACATGTATCTTGACGGTCCAAAGGGTCTCAGCACAAAGCTGGGCTTCTGTCACTTCATGCTGCCCCATCTGCGTAGGGAAAAGACAGTGTTGTTTACTGTAGAATACCTTTGGAGCTGCCGGCTTAGTGTGTGACTGTCTCCCTCTAGTGATCTGCAAGGTGCAATAGAGACTGCAAGATTTTCTACTTGGGGTATGTCTACACTGCAGTCAGTGGCTTGGATACTAGTTGCAGCCTAGCAGTAGCAGCACAAAGCTCAGTACAGGCTGACATCCACAGATTTATTCTGCTGCTTGGGTGGGTTTTGCAGTCTGCGCAGAGTGCCATGCTGCTACAGCTAAACTGACACTAGTACCTGAGTTAACTTGGGTATGTCTGCACTAGGCTGTCACAGCATAGTTACCCCAACAGCTGAAATGCTATGGGGAGGCATGTGGGTTTTGGTGATGAAAGCCTTAGATTCCAATAATCTGTATTTGAGGAAGAGTGTGTGTGTGTGTGTGTATTTACACACATGCATACACACTCTTGCACACAGCAGCTGTCCTAAACATTATTCAGGTGTTGGTTACGAGCTCCTAGGTAGAGTTTTAGCTGATCAATATTGCCTACAACTATTATAACAGCTGAACCAGTGCTGCCCACAACCTCAGTATTTGTGATTGTTCACAAACTGAATGGAGTGCAGCTAATTGCACCTAGCTATCATAAATTTCCCCTAGACAATTATTCCTTGACTAGGAAAAGCCTTGGAACCAGCTATCATTGTTAGAGTATTACTGATGCACTTAGCCAATGGCATAACAAGTAAAGTTAGTGGTTGGGGCAAACCCTGAGGATGAGCCAGGGTGGTGGGGAGTGGGGAGCACAAAAGGGTTCTGAGAGTGGTGGTAAGGAGAGCTTACAGTTCTGAAAGTGGGGTGTGGGCAGGGTCCAGCAATCTTACCCACTCCAGGAACTCTTAAATAGCCCCTGGCTGAACTGCTGCCGCCAGGGACTGTTTGGGAGTTCCAGGCATAAGCCATGGGACTGCTCTTGCTGCCGGAGCATGGTCTCTGTGGGGATGGGGGCGTGATTCCAGCACCCCTCCTAACTTGGTGCCCAGAGCAGATGTCCCTCTCACCCACCCCTAGTTATGCTGCCGTACTCAGCCAAATGGATTTGAGTTGCAGCTGTTCATGAAGATCTAAGAAAACCAGAATTCTTCAGCTCCTTGCCTTTCTGCTGTGCTTATTCCCACCTAAATGCCCTACTGGCACAATGAGTTATTAGGCCACTGGAGCATATGGCAGCTACAGCAGGTACCAGCGCCCCAAAGCTTAGAAAACAGACGTCCCAATATTTATAAACCATACTTCAATCAAAACACAAGGCTGTGCTTTCATCTGTGTAGCATCTAATCCAACACACTAAAGGGGGAGTACCAAGGGAAACGGGTGAAGAGAACATTGCAAAGGCAAATCTTTAAATAAAAATAATCAAAGCAGATAAAAATGGAATAAAATTTTCCCTTCTCCCGGCTGAAATTCTTAATTCCCCTTTGATTTCTATAACGGTGAATTTGGACTTATGATCAGCAAGAAGCAAGTAGCCAAGCTGTTTTGAGAGGCAGAATGGTTTAGGGGGTAGTGCACTTGCTTTCCGTCCTGAAAAGCCACACATATATCCTTTGACCGTGCTGTTAGATGACAAGTACAGGTCACCACTATAATAAGCCTTCCAACCCCCAGCCATGGGTCTACAAGTCCTCAACGGTGAAGCAGGTGGAAGAAGATGTTAGAATCTCAGTGGCTGTGAAGGCAGATGAAGTCTGCAGCAGAACAAGATCCCCAGTTGTCTTGTTCGTCTTGCTGTTGGATCAGGGTCCTGCTCTGTCAAGAGCTGTGTGAAAGCTGATGTGCAGCAGCTCCTCTATGATAAAAGAAGTCATGCACAGGTGTCTTCCATGAAAACAGCTTTTCTAGCACATTCCTCAAGCCCTTTGGTGACCAGTTAATGGTGACGGGAGCAGGATTGTGAGATCTGGAACCTCCTAGTCAGGAACTGGCATGAAAGAGCAAAGGTGGCATTTCCAAGAATTCGGCAATTACAAGAAAGTCATCTAGCACCTGGATGAGACAGGAGTGTGGTTTGGCAGCTGTTACTGTGACTGAGCAGTCCTCTTCATGGTCCACTCTGCTTATTCCACACGGGGAGGGGGCTAGAAAAGGTGCCCTAAACATAGCCTGTCTATCTTCTTCCTGACTGGATAACTGCATCCAGTGAGAACACCTTTACTGTGGTGGAAAATACCAGCAAAGAGATGTCATCATTTTCAGGATGTGGAACGCTGGCACCCTCATGGACAACCCTAATAGTGAATGCCCAGAGCGCCTCATTCAGACAACACAACAGTGATGTAGCTGCACTGAACAAGACTTGGCAAGCAGGAGATGGGCAGCTCAAAGAACATGGAGGTGGCTATAGCTTCTTCTGGAAGGGTAAACAGGAAGGAGAACTCTGACTTCACAGAGTTAGTTTTGCCAATAAGAATGAATTCGTAAACCAACTTAATTAGTTCCCTTTCAGAATTAATGAGTGCCTCATGACTGTCTGTCTTAAGGTGGTGGGGAGCCAATATGCCACTGTCATCCATGTGTATGCCCTGACTCTTGATGCTGCTGATGAAGCCAAGGAGGAATTCTACACCAAACTTGACCAAATCCTTTCTCATATTCCAGAGGGAGACACTTATGCTTCTTGGTGATTTCAGTGCCAGAGTTGGAAGTGACTCTAACCTCTGGAACAGAACCATTGGCAAGGAAGGAGTAGGAAAGGTCACCTCCAGTGGCATTTTCTTCTTGATCAAATGCATAGAATGTACTATGGACTATGTCATCATCTATGCCCACGATCACAATACACATCACCTGAGCTATGCTAGGAGCAGATGATTGCTGCACTGATCACTGATTCATCTACTCAGTTATGTCACTCAAACTGGCTCCCAAATGACAGCTGCAGCAGAAGCAATGTCAATGGCAAATCGATGTTAAAGGACTTAAAGACCCAAGCAAGTGAGACCTCTTCCACCA